AAAATGGAAGAAGAACATGGAAAGGAGCAGACTAGAGTGGCGCATCTGCCAGCCATCAAAAGCAAAGAAAGCCCTGGACGGACTGTCCTTCGCAGACCCCAGAAGAAACTAGCCCTGCAAATATCTGGCAGAATAAAGCCCTCTGGTTTCCAGCCACCTGCTTTGTGACACTTTGTCTTGGAAGCCATGAAAACAAATACAAGCATGTGCTACTTCACATTTCAAACATTAGAGATGAAAGGGACCAGAAAAAAGGAAGAGAGCTAAAACTCTTGTTTTCTCCAGCACTTGCTCCAAAGAAGAAATGAGTGACCAGAGGGGGTGGGTTTGTGGAGGCACCCAAGATAAAGTTAGGATGGGGGGGGAGGGAAGACAGAGAGGGACAAGTAGCCCCCGTGGCCACATTTGTGTTCTTAGTCTTGAGTTCCACATCCCTGTGCCCTCTTCTCTTGGACTTATCTGAGCCTCTGTGGCAGAGAACAAGCCACAAAGTTGGCCATGGAAGAGGTGACTGCACCATGCCCAGATCTGGCCTGGCTCTCCTCAGGTCCAGTGGTCAATGGAAGGGCATCAGCCTAAAGGGGTAGCTGCCACAAGGCAGGAACTGCTAGGTGTGAGGACAGTGTAGAACCAAGTATCCACAGATCATGTCCCCACATAGAAGCAAGGACAGTGGTCATGTTGCACTGAAGGTTTGCCTCACTTCTGCTCCCATGCTGGACACAGGTGGACAGTGTCCCACAGCCCCCAAGAAGTCCTAAGCAGATCCTGTTCAGAGGCAATGTGGCTTGCCTCTGCTTAGAGATGGACTCTAGCATGCAAGGGCAGACTCCTGTGGGCTCATGTCTGCCCTGTGCTCAAAAGGCAATCCTCAAGGCAGGAGCCAGCCAAAACCTGTAGAGACCCAAGGATGTGCCAGGGTTGACCCTGCACTCCTCCTGTCATGAAAATCTTCTGTTTTGGCGTTCATGTTCAGTGAAACCCATTTATCACCTACGTATGGCACAGCTCACAATACAGAGACAATAGAGACAGAAACATGTTTCAGACATGCCATAAATAAAAGCCTTCATTCTGTGTGCAGGAGAAAGCAAATCCAGTCTGTCACAGCTCTCTGCAGTAACCCTGAGTATGAAGCTGAGCTTTGGATGACTCACCTTCCAGTCAGTGCTATTCCTTTCTTCGGCCCAAATCCAATACAACTTTATTGTTCTCCTTGTTTGTCGTTGTTGTTTTGTCTACAAACTTAATCCTATTCTCTTTTCCATCTGAAGAATGAGAGCCTGGGCCAAGTTCAGTAGGAGCTTAGTGGGCCCCCTGTACCCTCCCCTAAACCCTTTCCAATCTCCAAAGGACTTGCGTCCCCCTAACCTGGGGGAGCTGATAACCCCACTCCCAGCCTTGCAGGCAGCATAATGAGAAGAATGAAAAGCTGGAGCTTAGGCTTCCTTGAGTACTATCAGCCCAAGGCTGAGGAATGAATACTTCATGAAGACTTGGGGTTCTGGAGCCATGGGTAGGATTTCTAGGGTTCTGGCCTCTGTAGACACAGGGCACCTTCCTAGATTAGGAATGCACAGCATTCAGCGCAGAACTCAGTTTTCCTGACCCAGAAACTTCTCAGGCCAACTGTCATCCGATAGGAGCCCCATTTGTATGGGGGTGGGTCTTGGGAAAGTGGTTTCCACGTTCTTGGTGTCCTGAACCAAGAACTGAGCAGGATGGTCAGGAAGAGTAGCAGGAGTAAGATTTGCTAAAAGTGAAAAGACTTCACAGTAGATAAGGGCAGCACTAGGTTGCTAACATCCTGTGGTTCTAGGGGGGTCTGTGGCTAAGGACAAACAAGAATCATGGTCTGGTGGGGCCACAAACTCGGTGTCTCCACCTGTCTGGAAGGACTTTATGACCATACCAGGCTTTCAGAGGAAGTGACAGGAGCCAAAGCCCATGGTGGGGGGGGGAGTCAAAACCACAATACAAAGTCTAAACCAGGCCAGGTCACATGTTTTGGTTTTGCACATGCCTGGAGCCAGGGACTTGGGGGACAGAGTGACTTTTATCTATTGGTTTCCTGATGCTTGACAGTCATCCTTGCTGTCTGGTTTCTTGATTCTTGCCTTTTGCCTTCCCGTTGCTTATAGATCCTTGCTCTATCCAACCTCATGTTCACAGGTGTTCACAGGTGTTCACAGGACTGAATGCATAGGAAGGTCCAACAGCAGGTGCTCCCAGGGATCAAGACAAGAGTCATAAGCACAGTGTGAATAGCGGGACATACTCCCAAGACAGTGTGTGGGTGCCCCGAGGTCACGGTATGAGGTGATTGTGTATGGAGATGCTCTGTAGGCTACAACTAAGAAGATTTTGCTTCTGGGTCTCCCCATCACTGGTGATTCTGGCAGCCTGCTGCACTCCAGGACATGCACCCCACAAGCTCCCACTTGCTGATCACTGGGGCCTCGTTTGTTTGATTGCGTGTTAAACAATTGGACTGAGTTGCTTATGGTACTACAGCATTAAAAAATACACACAGCCATTGCCTGAGACAGCAAAGCTCAGCTCTGGGACATTCACAGCCCTGCTGAGCAAATCCAGCTCAGCCCGGAAATGTCTGCCCTCCTTTTCCCAGCAGATCATTGTCAGCAGTCATTTGGTCACACAAAGTGGAAATGCCCCCAGCCCACTTCTGTCGCAGATGTAACTTGTGCCATGGTTCACAGCGACTCACTCCACATTTAAACTCATGGCCGTTTTCCTACTGGGCCCTGCCAAGCCTTCACCACTGTAGCCCTGCAGTGGACATGTTGAGAGGTGGGTGTCAGGGTGGAAGGAGCAGGCACACCTGTGTCCACAGTGGTGTGCCAGCCCTCCCCTCCTGCGAAAACAGCTACAGCCTACTCAGATTTGGGGCAGCCATGCTCAGATATGGAGGCTGTGAGCCATGTCCACAGGGCCTGCCTGGGGATTCCTCCTTAGATGGTGCAGTCCAAGGTAGGCGCCTGGGTGGTGCAGGGTCTGCCAGCCAAGGCGACCCCAACCTCCCCTCCCTTTCTCCCACAACCCTGGGCCTCACCCCAGCGTCTGCCTCCTGTGGGAGCCCCCTGTGACACCTGCAAGGGGCCCCGAAGAGCGCGTCACAGTGCTCTCAGGGGCGTCACTCTCAGTGTAGGAGGTGGGTGTGGATCTATGCCTGACTCCCCAGAGGACCGCAGAGGGCACAGAGTTAGAAACAGTTTACATGCCCTAGACCCACAGTGCAGGCTGCGTTTGGGCCCACATCTACTAGTGAAATTTAATTAGAATAATTGCTAATAAATGGAAGCTAACAGTGAAAATCGACATTGGAGGTTCTAAGGACATGGACACTCGTTGGGGTCCACGGAAATAAATAGGCTGAGCAAACGGAGTCAAACCCTCACAGATCAGAAGGGCGTCCCGCCTGCGGCCACGCGGGGGCGCCAAAGGACAGGCTGGGGGCTGGGCTGGTTCAGCGTCAGGGGCCTGGAGACCAGAGGCTAGAGGCCAGGAGAGTCCCTGGGAGGGGTTTCGAGACCGGGGAGGAGGTCTCAGAACGTCAGGGGGAAATGGTGGAGAGGCTGCTGGGGAGAGGAGGACGTAGGGTGCAAATGGCTAAGCAACTGGAGTTTGGGGCGGGGGCAGAAGCCAAGGGGCTTGGGTTCCAGGGATCAGGGTGGCCAAGTGGCAGGTAGCTCCAGGAGAGCCCAGGAGCCACATCCCGCAATAAGGGGCCGCTAAGTGAAGATCCCCGCCTTCCCAGAGTTCGCCCTTGAGGGTGGTAGAAGGGAGGATGTGAGGATTCAGGCGGGGATCCACAGAAGCCTTGGAGTGGAATCAGTCTCCAGCTAAAATGCATGGCCAACTGGGAACAGTAGGCATTCCCCCAAAGAAAAACTTGGGCTTCCAGGGGACTGGAGTAAGACCAGAGTGACTTCAGTGAGGTCTCCTGCCCTGAAGTGACCCCGCTATGCCCACTGGGACACTCTCTCAAGTCCTAGAGCAAGGGGCACTGAGCACATGATGGGGTGGAGGCCTGGTGGGTAAGGGAGGAGGACCTGGGGCTGGGTGCTGCATTAGAAGTTCCACGTCCCAGTGGCAGGTGGATGGGATGGTGCATCTCCGCCCTGCAGATCCAAGCCCCTCCTGCTGGCAGGAGATCAAGGGGTCCTGCAGACCTACCCGTGGATACAGTGACTAACCCTGCACCCAGCCACCCTTTTCCTGCCACAGTGTGCCAAGGGTCCTGCATCACCAGCACCTTCCAGGCTCAGGTATCTCAAGGTTCTGGTGATTCACTCAAAAGCCCTGGTCACCTCGCTGGGCTCCCAAACACCTGTGAGAGTCAAATCGGATGGAAAACACTGGGCTCCCGACCACAGGCCCTGGGCTTAGCTTTCTCCTTCTAAAACTTCAGAAGTCTGAAAAGTTGTCCTTGTCTCAGAGCTGGGGTCTCTGGGCAATCTCCATCTTCCCAGGAGGGGAGGACAGGGTGGTTAGACAGCCATGGGAGGGACCCCAATGTGCCCTGCCACCATGAGAGGTGGGAGAATCTCCTGGTTGCTGTGCTGGACAGTGTACAGGGTGCCCCAGCACTTACAAGGCTTCCCTCGCAGTCTGGATAGGATGTGGGTCACATAGGAAGTGTCATCTTTTCTAGGGGTGATAGGAGCCTAGCAAGGAGCACCCCCCCCAAAAAAAAAAAAAAACCTGTGTCCATATAACAAGGATGTTGACCTCTCATGAGTGAAAGGCACAGTTGGCTCCAGGGGCTGCACTTGGCTTTGTTTTATTGAACTTAACACAGGTTTACAGTTCACAGGACACTCACTGGAAGCATCCACAAAACCAGCACTCATGTCAAGAAAGGGACCAGGGACACAGGCCAGGGAAGCAGGGACCAGTTTCTGATTGGATTGAGGATATTTTTCTGGGGGTAAGCCTGTGTGGGGACAAGGCGGGGCTACCAGAGGGGTATCAGGCTCCTACAGACCGCCGAGGCTCAGCTTGAATATACGGAACGGCCACAAGGCACAGATGGTCATAGACACCCAGAGCCAGAAGTCCTGGTGGTGCTCAGAGTGGGGCCTACAGCAGGCCCTGAGGAGGCTCACACCTCCCTTGCTGATGGACCTGCTGGACCCGGATCTCAGCCATCTCCTCTTGCAGTGGTGGAAGGTGATGATGCCATGGCGCTGGGGGTCTCCACAGCCCATGCTCCCTGCTATCTTGAGGACTGAGGGTGGGATGACAGTGGAACCCCAACTGACAACTGTGGACACAGGCTCTCCACACTGGTTCCCTTCTCTCTCCTTCTGGGGATGTCACTAAGAGAGTTCGTGCCTCGGGCATTATCAGTAAAGGTGAAGGGGAAGGTGACGGGGCTTCCCTTGCTGGCAGAACAATGCTGTGTGTCTCCAGAGGAAAATTGTGACCATCAGTGATGCAGCTCTGGCTACCACCTCCCTTCCCCCTGCCCTTGAAGATGTGGGTGAGGCTGTCCCAGCCCCTGAAATGTTGGTTAGAGATAAGGGGAGAGTAATGGAGCCCTCCCCATTGGCCGAGAGGCCAATGACATAAGACACAGAGGGAAAGGCATTCCCAGGAGCCAGGAAACCAGCACTGAAGGAGATGGGGCCTTGCCCTTAGCAATGCCAACAAGGTTGGGTGTGGAGCCCTGGCCCCTGGAGAGGAAGCATGGTAGCTCAAAGGTCTCCAGGATGCTGCCCTGGTCAGGGTTAGGTAGGGGTCCCAAAGTGCACTGGGATACCCTGGCCCTCAGGCACAGCTCCTGAGCTTCCTGCCAGGCAGATAGAGCCCTGGCCAATGACCTCCCTGAGCATAAGATCATGGCCATCTGCGATGTGCACAAGGGAGAAGGGAATGGTGACCATGGAGTTACCCTCATCAAAAAGGTCCCTATCCTCAGAGAAGGGCTCCTCCATGGAGTCAATCACCAGGATGGGAATGACGATGGACTGGGATTTCTGGCATACTTGACCAGAAGGCCTCTTCCAGGGCACAGAGACTGGCCATGCACAGCCATGGTGGCCTCGCTGCCCTTCCCAGAGCCCCTATCTTTCAAGGCTTCCACATTCTTGACCAGAGGCCTGCTGATGGGCTCAGGCTCTCTCTAGAGGAAGCAGACGCCCAGATCACAGGCCTCACAGCCATCCCTAGCACTGCTCTTGGAGCCCTGCCCTGGGTTGACCCCATAGCAGGTCCATAAGATGTGCAGGACCAGCTCTCAGAGAGGCCAGATGTGGGAAGGGCTCACGAGGCAGTCCGCAGGGGCATCTGGAGGGTACAGCCTGCACTGCTGGCCCCACAGGAGCATCTTCACACATCCCCAGTGGTGATCCTTGTCCCATCACAGGTGAAAGAGAAAGCACACATGGGTGGAGCACCAGATCTAGGAGCAGCGGTGGTACTAGAGCGTGTGGGGAGATGCAACAGGTGAGTGGAAAGGGAAGGTACCTTGAGCTATGACACACTGGACCTTGAGGTTTTGCTAGGGTCCCATCATCTGGCCTATCTGACACCTCTGGTTAGTCTCACATTCCACAAACCATAAACCTCACCCACCAACCAGAAGAGTGAACTGAGTTGGACCTCTACCTCCTATCACCATGCACAAGCTCTGTATCCCTGGGGATCCTTGTCTGCTACCTACATCCCTTTGCCTGTATCCCCATGGTCTGAAAGACTGAGCACAAGTGCCTACCATCACTGGCACAGGATCAGCCTACTGCATCTGCAAGGTATCTCTGCTGCTTGTGGCTTGGGGTTAGCATGCATCAGGTGCAACCCACTGTGAATGGACAGGTAAAGACAGAAGAACAAGGCCCCTGCTGTGGCTCAGCAGGCAGGGTGCTGGGAGATGAACCTTGGTAGATCCCCATCCCAAAAGAAGGGGTGGCTGGGAAGATAGCTCAGTAACAATGAGCACTTGCCTGGAAAGTGCAGGGTCCTGAGTTCAATCCCCGGTACCACCAAAAAAAAAAAAAAAAAAAAAAAAAAAAAAAAAGTGATCTACACCAAAAGAAGGAGTGATTCCACTTTCCACCCATCAGCTGAAGGAAATCAAAAGCACCTGCATACAGAGCATGGGGAATTTCGGGGAGTCCTGGGAAAGTACAGCCTAGCATATGCCCACAGGTGAACACATATATTTGCCAGTTGATGAGAGTAAGACACCTGGGCACCTGTTCCCTCGATCAAGAGATAACAAACTCAGGATCCTGGGAAGGGCTGGACCGGATGCCCTGAGGAGAACCCTGGTCAGCTCCTGGCCATGCAGGGGACCTTTTTCCCCAAGACACATGGTTTCCTGATGTACAACTGCATGGCTATGGCCTCCTGAAAGCCTGCCCTTGTGGAGACTTGGGGGTGGTGGGATTGTCCTCTACTCACATGGACATAGCCGCTACCTGAGGCATGGACCTTCTGCCTCCCTTCAGTCTGAGCCTCAAGCTTAAGGAGCAGGGAGTAAGGAGTGCTTCGCACCCCCAACTCCTACCCTTGACAGTCTGCATGGGCCCCCACCCTACTGTCCTAGGGCAGCACTGCATCTGGGCTCTGAGGTACTGATGCCTCACAGAGAGGCATGGCACTGGTCCAGAACTGAAACTGCCAGGACCCAGCATGCCCCTGCCCCAGGGTTTCAAATACTGGGGAGCAGTGGCATCTGTATCAAAGGGAAGAAAAATGCCCTCTGCCCAGGACTCAGAGTGACACCTGTCCAGAAGCCTGAAGGCACCCTACAGGGCCAAGGATGACTTGCAGGGTAGAGAGGTCCATAGCACAGGCCATGTCCCTGTTACACTGATAGTGTCTGTCATCACACCAGAAATGGCCCTCCAGTCCCCTCTGCAACCTCAAAGCCAGGTTGGGGATGGCTCCCCAATTCCTCAGGCCACCAAGCACTACCTGGCTTCCACTTGTCCACAACATGCAATAGCAATGCTCTGGAAACATAAGACCTGTACATCTGAGATAATGTTGGGGAGAGGAGCCAAATGCGCAGAACAGACACCACGTTACCCACCGCCATTTCCCAAGAGGGACAGGGAACTCCTGGCCCCACTCACCTGTTGAGGAAGAAGCCCTGATTCTGGTTCCAATCAGGGCTTCCTCCTCAGGAACCAGACCCAGCTAGGGTTGGTGGGAGACACCCTCAAACCCCACCCATTCCAGGACCTCCAACCCTTGCCGCACCTCAAAAACCCCTTCAGCCGGTACTGGAGACTACGGTGTAGGTGCCCGGTGACCAGGTTCTCCTGAGGGTGCAGAAGCCAGAAGTCCTGAGGCTTCCTCTCAGCCATGAGTTGAGCAAAGGTGCTGCCCACACATCTGCCCCTGGCCCATCCATGCTGCTGCTGGGCTGTGCAATGCAAGCTGACCCACTCAGGCCCAAGGAAGCATCGTGCATCGTGTGTCAGCTAGTCAGCTGCCTTGACAACAGCATGATCTCCAGGGCAACTTGATTTGTCTCAGCAACAGGAAGCAGAAAGGAAAATCACTACATGACAGAATCACCCAGATCCCACCACCCAGAGATCATCAATCAGCATGATGCAGTGGGAACACTGACATCTGTGTACCAGTCCATGTATCTTCCTGTAAATATGTTCAGTCTGACACGTATGATGCCATAGAGGCACACCTGTGGAAAAGTAAGACCAAAATCCTTCACTCTGAAAATTGAGTCTCAACAACTATTTTGGGATATCTATCCAGTGGCTGAAGTGTGACCTCATCACAAATGATGGCTTGCCCCGTGTCCATTATGTCACAGGACAGTTAGCCCTATACCAGAAATGACCCCTCATCCAATCTTGCTGAATGCCTCAAAGCTCACAGCCCTGAAATGGGTCTGCAGCCATAGAAAAGCTTGCCCTCAGGTCCCTTTGTGTGGTCCCCTCTCTTGACCCATGGTCATTTCTCAGAGCATGTGTTTCAATAAACTTCCTTAGGCACTCATTTTATATTCCCAGTGAATTCTTCTACCACCGGCACCATGGCCCTCTGAACACTGCCTGGCGCAGCAATCCTGTCCTGAAGACTGCACACATCATAGCAATGCCCTGACATGCCCTCTGAGGGTCGTGTTCTGCTCCTCCTGTCTCAGTCCTGAGCACCGTGGAGCCAGTTCTTCACACCCCAGGTGCCAAGGCCACGGTTGCTTTTGTGTGTTCTATTGATGGAATGTCAGAATTTCATATTACATATTTTGTGCATTTGCCTGGCTCCTGTCTTTCTGGATGGTCAGTAAGACTCACCCACATCCTGTACATAACAGTAGTTTGTTGGGACACAAGAGTCAGGGACAGAGCAGGTTTCCATTGGGCAAGTGGGACAGCAGAATCAGTGGGTGTAGCCAACCTCACATGTCAGGGACAAGCTCAGAGCAGAGTGACCTAGGCAGCCTATGCTGAAGAAGGTATCCTCAGGAGAGGACATGACATGGCATCTCCTCCTTCAGAATCCCAGGGTGTTGCAGGGAACAGTCAGGGCACTGGCTTAGAAAAGGGCACTGAGGGTGAGGTACTCAGCACAACTCGGAATCAACCTGTCTGTGGCTGCTGATGACAGCCAGCGTGATAAAGGCTGTGTGAGATGTTGACTCAGGATCATGGAGTTATTGAACCTCCTTGTCCTCAACATCCATGGGTAAGAAGTTCACACAGACAGTTGTCAGGCAGATGGCAAGGAAAGACACATCTCCAGTCTGTGGAGGTAGCTCAAAGGACAGGTCACACCAAGTGACTCAGTAGGCTCCCAGGAGATCCAGCATGACCCCACATGCCTGCAACCCTTAGAAGAGGGAAGCAGTCGCTGAGTGAGCCATCTTGCTCATTCTGTGCACTGTGGTCCTGACCTCCCTGTGTAACCTGTCAAACATCGAGGTCTGCCCTTGCTACCCATGGGCTGGAGACACCTGCTGCAGCCCCAGCCAGGTCACCAGTGCTCACTGCCCTGCCCCATCCTGCTCCTGGCTTGAGTCCAGGCTGTCTGCCCCTCACTTCCCACCTGCCTGCCTTCTGTGTATGGATCCTTTCTCCTTCTGCTCTGGTCCTGCCCCAGCCTCAGGTCACCCCGTCTGTTTCTCTGGCCTTGACAGTGTCATCTGTGCAGACTTAGCACAGATGTCCCCAAAGCCATCCACACTTCCCAAGGCTGGAGCAGGTCCCACCCCCGTCCCTCTGGCTCCAGATCAAACACAAGATCCCTACCTGCCCTTTCCCCTAAGGACCTTGAGGACCCCAGTGTTAGCCCTTCCAAAGTGTAGGGAGGGATGCATTCCAGACTTCTCCAGACACCCAGAGCAGCATTGGAGAAGCAGTGGCCATACACCCATCAGGGCCTTGACTTGCAGACAGGCCTCACAGAGGCCACTTCCATGCCAGCCAGCACAGTGACCAGTCACAAACATAGTCCTGGTGTCCTCTGTGACCTGTGCTTCGAGCTTCTACTGCAAGTCCCTGCCATGCCCAGCAGGAGAGGACTCAGGGGCCCTGAGACTGTGTGGCTCCTGCCCCTGAGTCCCAGTGTGATGTGAGCAATTGCTGGAAGGGGACACTGGGGAAGCCAGAGGCTGGCAGGACATGGACACCTCCCTGCACTGTGTCACCATGGCCCTGGGCTGGTGGCCAGTACAGCATCCATCCAACCAGAAACAGAGTCCTCACCATAGAAGATGCGGGGGCCACTCAGCCCACAAGAGGCTCTCACAAGGAGGCCAGCAGAGGCATCAGCTCTGGGGCAGAGCGGCAGAGACCACCCTTCTCACACACATGAGGGAGGGGTGAGGCTGGAACCCAGGCGGAGCTCCAGAACAAGGGTGGTCAGCTATGAGCATCCTAAGTGCCCAGTCGCTGCTCAGCTCCTAGGGTCTTTGCTGTCCAGGAGAGACAACCCCCACCTGACCTAAGTGCACACAGCACACTCACCTGCATGCAGCACATGGCATACTCATCTACACACACACACACACACACACACACACACACACACTATGCAAGTACCCACAAACAAAGTGCGAGTGTATGAGCACTCCCTCTATGAGGGACCAGGAATATGGGTCTTGATGACAGTAGGCATCACTACATTGTGTGTGTGTGTGTGTGTGTGTGTGTGTGTGTGTGTGTTGGAGAGAGAGTGAGAGACAAAGACACCTGTACCTTATAATCTGACTACTGTGAAGATAACAATGCACAATATATTAACCATTATTAACTTTCTGTTATCTTAATTTGAAATTCTGTATCATGGTTTTTATTGGGATTTTTTCTCTTTAAAATAAAAAATAAACGGAGAGATAGAAACCAAGAAGGACCACAGACAGTAGAGAGGATACAGAAAGGGCAGGGAAGGCCAGGAAGAACTGTCTTCGCGGCAAGTGTGCCGCCACACAGCCAGCGTGTGATTGGCCCAGGCCCTTCGGGTGGGGACCCCAGGGAGGCAGGGCCCAGCCCCTGCTCGGCTCCTAGGGTCTTTGCTGTCCAGGAGAGACAGCCACCACCCTGAGGCCACGGTCCTGACCTAAGAGCACAAGCACGCTTGCCTGCATACAGCACATGGCATACTCATATACACACACACACACACACACACACACACACACACACACACACACACACTATGCAAGTACCCACAAACAAACACCTTTGAAAACTGAAACTTAAGTCCACAACTGAACCACTAAACACACTCCAGGAAGTTAGCATCAGAGAGGCATGTAGGAATCGCTCATCCTCCGTCTTTTCTGGGGCTTTCGCTCTTCTATAGGATAAAGTGTGGGAACACCTCACTTGGCTTTTAAAAATCCAGTTCCTAATTTGGCAGATGCATTAGCTGCTCTCTCTTCAGCTTCTGGGAAATGTTTCAGACACATGATGAACAGAAAGTTTTTATTTGCAAACACTATTAACCATTTCCTGTTCCAACCTCAAGGCAGCTGTGAATCAGGCTGCGTCTCCCGCCCAGCCTGGGTGTCCTGTGGGTGGCTGCGCCTGGATGGGACTCACTGGGCTGCAGCACATATTGGGGCGCTGCTGCCACCCACACAGTGCCATACAGGGGCAGTTTCAGAGTAGCCCTGTCTCCTCACTTCCCCAGCCTGTCCCTGTCCCCGGGGATGGAAACTTCCTGCTGCCTCCAGAGCACTGGGGATCCCCTGTCCTCCATTTTCCACTCTCTAACTGCACTGGCTCATGGTTTCTAACCGTGAGGCTGACGCCTTGGAAACCTGAGGTCAGAGGCCCCGGGGAGACTTCTAAAGGGGGTTTAGGAGACTCCCACTAGGCCTCAGCCTCTTCACTGCCTAATAAGAGGGATCACTTTAAAACCTCCCTGAACACCTGCAGAGGCCATGTGCACACGCTGTGGGAAATCTTGAGCACACATGTCCCTCTGAGGGTCCCCAGCTATGGGCCTCAGCTCCCCACCTCTCACTGCCACCGTGATACGAATGACAGAGAGCTGCCTGTAGTTCTACAGAGCCCATGAGAGCTCAGACAGAGTGCACAGGGCTCTGTACAACCTCTTGCAGGACGACACTGTGCAGCAGGAAAAGAGTGATAGGCCCCAGGCAACTGCCTGTTCTCTCAGGCCTCCTCCTAGCCTGGGTGCTGTCTAGCCACCCCACACCCAGGCCCAGAGAGAATAAGGCTCCTGCTAGGGAGAGAGGCTAGGGAGTGTAGAGGGTCCAGCCAGCCCCAATCTACCCAGGGTCCTAACCTGTCATGAAGGAAGCTCCGTCTTGGGAAGTGTAGAGATGGCAGGTGGGGGACCTGATCAGAACTCACCCAGGCCCTTGCCACTGGCAACCTACAGAAAGGCCAGTGCCCTGATGTCCCAAAGGCCCATTTTCTCCAAGTATGAGGCCAGCAGTGGCCTCATTTGCCTTGTTCACAACACAGCACCTCACTACCACCTCTGATGCTCGTTATCCATTCCTGCCACCATCAGGGCTACACTCAGTTCATTCTTAGCTCAGACCATCCACAGTCTCCCAGGGGTGCAACTGGTGGGTTTCCAGCCTGCAAGTTTTTTCTTATCTCAGTCTCATCACTAATATCAGCAGATTTGTTCCTCCAGCTTTCTACTCTGTGATAACACCTTCAAGCAGAATGCAGTGAAATGACCCACCTGCCTCGCAAAGGATGGCCAGAGGGGAGGGTGACCTGCAATAAGCTCCCCACCTGGAGGTTGAGGTCGGTGGGGCCTGGTGAGGTGCTTGAAAGCAAAAGGGCATGGCTGGCCTTCTCGGTGAAGGGCAGTGGCCCATCTAGGGAGCCCACAGGAGAGGACAGTATCCTGTTTCCACAGCCTTAAGAGGAAGGGTCCCAGATCTGAAGGCCCCAGGCACTCAGTGCCCCATCCTGTCCCAGGCCAAGCTGCTCCCCTGCTGATCCTGCCAGACCCCAGTGGTTCAATTGGTCTTCAATGGCCACACTTAGAGCAGGAAGGTCCACCTTCCTGCGGCCCAGAAGCCCAGGCAGGAATCAAACAGAAGAGAGACACAGAAGCACCTCAGGTGAGGACAGGAGGAAGACACAGGCAAGGAAGTAGACATACACTGCCCCAGCAAAGGTCAGAGCCAGAAAGACCCTTCCTGGGGCAGGCAGCTTCCCCCACTCCATCACTAACTTCACTCCTGTCACAATCTCCCTCCTTCCCTTGTCTCTTCTCTCTCCTTCACTCAATTCTCTCATCCCCCATCCTCCACCCCTCCCCATTTCCCTCTTCCCTAGCTTTCCCCTCCCCCTGCCCCTCCCCCATTCTGCCAGCAGCTCTCTCCGCCCCTGTGGGGGTGGAGGAAGAGGGGGCGGGCGCCCCAGGGCACGTCCCCTCCCTCCAGTATGATATGGGACAGTTTCCTTTCCACTGCCTGAGCTGAGGAGGTGGCAGCCGTTGACAGGAGGTGCGAGTTGGCGCTTGGGCATGTGGGTCTCTCAGGTGCCCTGGCCGCTCCTCTGGGTAGTCCTGCAGCTGGGATGGAGGCCCGCATGGCTCCTAGGTAGGTGTGCGTGGGGCGTGGGGCAGGCTGGGGCAAATCCGGGTCCTCATCCCTGTCAATGAGGATCAGTCCCAGTATCCTAAACTCTCTTGTGTGGATTTGGTATCCAGGTGCCCTCTGTGCACTGACAGAACTGTTCCCTCCTTGCTGTTGGGCAGGCAGGACCTCTACCCCCCTCAGCTAGTCCTGAGGGCCTGGCGAGATGGGGTCATCAGCCCTCCCTGTGAGACCACAGCCCTGGCTTCACTGTTCCTGGCCTGCACATCCCCTGTCTCCACTGTTTTCCTGGGATGGAGGCAGCCCCTTGGAGGAGCTGGTAGCCGCTGGTGGCTGTAACAAGGGTCGCTCAGGGTATGGACTCAAAGGGAATCAGGTACATTTCTGGGTGTCCATAGCAGTCTCTGGGGAAGCAGTGCCCCAGTTCAGGAGCACTGGCCTCTGAGCACCTGTAAGACAAGTCGCTCAGAGCAGGGAGGATCCACCCTGTCCATGCCCCTAGTCCTTCTGCCCCTGGGCCACTGGCCTGGCCTGGGAATTCAACTGGGAACCCAGCTTCTCTCTGGACCTGGAAGGGCATGTAGGGGGTGGCAGCTACTGCAAGGACCTAGACAAGGTAACACTCACCCATCCAGGTGTCCTCACATCCCAAGGTCCCAGGCCTTACTTTTTAAAATATTTTTTATTTTTTAAACCTATAAACAAGATTAAACTAAAACCAAATCTGTTTTAAAGACAGGCTATATTGGTATTGTTAATAATAGTCAAACTTTTAGAGGAGGGCTTTTTAAAAATTACACCTATGATATGCTGCTATCAGTAAGCTGGCCAGCTGAACTTTGCAGCAGCGTATTCCTCATTTTTTTCTGTTGGACTATTTCTTTTCTTTTGACAAACACGTTCAGTTCCACTGCTCAATACTCAGCCCTTACTATTACTGGCCAATAACAATATCCTCATGCCTCCTCCCCGGGATCTTCTTGTCCCTCTGTGCTGATACTCTAAGGGAAGCCTGGGTCACAGTGAGGACCCCAAGGAGGACACTGACTGGAGATGGTGGTCCCAGAGCCCATGGGGCACCTTCTTGGAGGTAGGGTCCAGAAGGCAGGGGCCAGCTCTCCCCACATTCCAGCTGTGCTGGTGGGGTTCACATGCTGGGGACTGTTGGCAAAATGCCCTGCTCTTCCTGTCCCCAACCCACCACCCTGGCTACAGGGTTTCTCTTGTCCCTGAAGCTTTCTTGCCAAATGTGCTTAGTGTATTTATCTTGGTGTTCCCTGTGGGCATTTTACTGTGTTTTGTGAGATGCCCAACCCCAGCAGCTTGGAATGGGAGGAAGACTTGGGCCTGTGTCCAGAAGGAAGCTGTTCTAGATAGCTGTAGGCCTCTGGCAATGCATTACAGAACCCAGGCCTCACACTAGCACTACTGTGACAAAGCCAGGGAGGCAGCACTTTGGAGTTCTGAGGCTGGAGAATTGAGGGCAAGGTGTTCATGTGGTGCCGCAGGCTACCTTGCAGTTTTCGGCTGGCAACAGTGTCTCTCTGGGCTCTGCCCTCATTCGTGTTGGGGAGACACCTGTGCCCCTTTTGCAACACTCTGCACACCCTGCTGAACAGGCCCACCATAGCCATGCTCTTCTCAGTGAGGTCCGGGGGCCTAAGGTTCTGGAGTGTGGTTCCCATGCAACAGCTTGGGGACACAGTTCCACCCCGCCCTTCATCGCAGCACACAGGGCTGTGATACTTGACCCCCTGTGCACTAGCTGCCGACACTGAAGCCCACTCCTCTCCCAGCCAGGGCTGTGAAGTGCTCTGGGGCTCACACCAGCCAAGAGCATCTCTAGAGTTGGTCCTCCCTGCTGGGCTGCTGCTCTGGGCACAGAATAACATGCAAGAGAGCTGTTGGGTCACCAGGAGCCCCAAGAGTCCACCTGACAATGCTTTCAGCTTGTGCAGATGTCACCTCTGAGCTTCCCCTTTTTGGTCTGAGACACAATATCCTCTTGTCACCCTGCTCCATGGCTCCTAGGGAAAGCGAGAGAGTGGCACAGAAACACCCCAGACTTCACTGTTCCCAGGAGCCTGGCCGCAGTCACTTCTGAATGTTGCCTTCTGGGTGACTCCCAACCTGCAGAGAAGCCAGGCGGCTTCCTGGAGGAGAGGCTGCCTTGTCAATTTCTGCTGCTGTCACTGAACATAACAGGTCTACATAAAGAACAAAAGTTTGTCCCACTTGCATTCTAGAAGCTGGAAGTTCAATGAAGCTTCCACTTCCAGATACTATTAGCATGTGACTGTGGTGGATAAGGGTCTAGCACTGAACTCTGGAAAAATGTCAGACCACAGCCTGGCCCGCAGTAGGAGCTTCAGGCATGGAGGTCTGGGACTGGAGAGCGTTGGGTTGACAGGAGGCAAGTGTTCCCTCAAGGTAACCATGCTCGGCTCCCTGGATAGGAGTCCTGGTACAGGTGAGGGGTTACCACCTTCTAGCCCCAACCTCAGTCAGCAGGCAGGGGGCAAGGGCTCACCTAGACACTCAGCTGAGGGGCTCCAAGAGGTCCCTGGTACCAGGGTTCTGATTCAAGGCCCACTGGTGAAGGACAAAGTGATCCAAACAGAAATACAATGGAAAGGACTTGGCTGGGTCTAGACCCACAGGACAGGATCCCATGTAGGGACTCAATGGAGAGCCCAGGGCAGCTGAGGCCACCAAATTATGACCATTCAAGCATGGAGGCCATGGGCCAGAACCATGGAAAGACAGGGTGAGGACCAGCCCCAGGGCCAAGACAGCTGAACACTTAAGTAGCCAGAGCCTACCTGGAGGGCAAGGCCTATGCAGGAGGGATGGGGGCCCTGCCTTGGGACTACCTGAGATGGGGCCCTGTCCTGATCCCCAGGGACCTCTCCAGTCATGTGGTGTTGAGACTGAGGGGTCTCTTTGGTGGCTCAGGCCCACCCTTGGTAGTAGACTTGGAGGATAGAGTAGTGCACCCCGACTGGGGGTCAATGGGACAGCTTGGGAGGGGATACTGGGTTTCTGGACCCTGAAGAGGGAATCACAGATGTTGCCACACTGGTACAGCCTTCAAGGAGCTTCTACTGGGGGATAGGGTGGAGCTGTGTCAGGCCCAGAGCCAAGGTGGACACAGAACAGGTCCAGAGGCACTGAGTCTGGTGCAGCTCAGGTTATGGACTTCAAGGGAGCCAGACACGGCTCTGAGAATACACAATGGATTCTTGGGACAGTGGGGCACTTGATTAGGAGCCCTGGCCTTTGAGTCCCTTGTAAGACCATCTTCCATGAGGAGAAAGGATGGATTTATCTGTGTCCCTCACCCTTCTACTTCTGGGCCACTAGCCTGATAGGGATTCTAACATGGAGCTCAGGTTCCATCCGGCCCTGCAAGGCATGGGATTGGGGGCAGCCACTATAAGGACCAAAACAGAGAGAGACCCATCCATCAAGACATCCTTGCGTCCCAAGGCCCCAGCCTTCACCATGGTTGGCCTCTCCCTGACTTGCCTCCTCCCTTTTTGAGACATGATTTCTCTTTGTAGTACAGGTCGGCCTTAAACTCACTATGTAGCCCAGACTAGACTAGAACTCCTGGCGATGCTCCTGCCTCTGCCTCCCAAGTGCTGCGATTACAAGCATGCACCACCACAACAGGCCAGACTTGGCCTCTTCATGTCCTGCTAGAGGTGGAACCGAGGCCTCATACATACTGGGCAAGCATGCTACAGCTAGCCTTGAACTTGTGATGCCCTACCTCAGCCTCATGAGCAGCTGGGGTTGCAGGCATGTATCACTGAGCTGGGCTACTGGAGGTTTTCATTTAAAAGGCTTCTATGTTTCTTGAATTACTATGTGAAAAAGATGCCTACTGGCACCATCAGTGAAATTCCTAATGTGACATGTTGGACAGCTTGGTGTGACCTGCTAGCTGTGTGTGGCAGGCAGCCACAGGCAGAGGAAAGACCTGCTAGGGCCTTCAGGGTCTGTGCTGCCCTCAAGGTATAAGGGATTTGCTAGAAGGCACAAACACTGCATGACTCCCCTTCCCTATCTGTCCATCGCAGGCAAGTGGCCTGAAGGAGACTGAGCTGGGTGAGTGTGGCATCTCTTCTGTAGCCCAACTGCCACCTGGAATCCTCCAGCCCTCACCCAGCCACGGACAGATTCTTCCAAATAGCCACTTCCTTCCTGAATAGGAGCACTGGTCTCAAACATCCATGGCTCCCTGTAAGACTGGCCCTTAAGCATTCCCCAGAGGTCCCTCTGTCCCTGGAATAGGACCCACAGTCATGACAACCACAGCCTTGCTCCCCTCACTGTGTGGGGAGCCAGGCCCAACCTATACTGTCATCCAGGATAGAGCTAGGCCCAAAAGCAAAGGAGGAAGGAAGGAGCAAGGCATAGAGTAGACACAAGGGGCAAACACAGAAAGGGATGCAAATGACAGCCTTGGCCACAGCCACACACTATGTCCTAGGACAGATGCTATGATGAGCAAGAAATTGCTGCTATATGGCTCCCCCAGGCCCTAGTGGGGTTTAGAACAGTGGGGTCTAGAACACAGCTTCCTGTGTGACACGGGACCTCAGGTATGGTTGACAGGTGCTGAGCCCATGGAGGCTCTTTCTGTAACGTCACTGTAAAGGCTCTTTGCAGTAAAGCCCAGTGAGCAGGTCATGAGGCCACCTGCTCTAAATCCTGGGCTCTGATGTCCATCCCTGTGTTGTTGTGAAGAGGAAACACTGCTGAGGTCTTCTCATCATGGAGGCCATATGCAAGTGTAGACTGTGTGTGAACACTCGTACATCAGGGAGCTGGGCCTGGGCCAAGATGAGGAGCACAGTGCCACAGCAGGGCCTGCTATAGTACTGGGGCCTGGCCAGAGGTTCCATTCTACGTGCCTGTGGAGCAGTGTGCTAGCTGGGCTCTAACTCCCACTAACTACCCCAACTGCCACCTCTCTGTTGCTTAGACCCCCATTGCCTCCACCTAGTAAGCCTGCTTCCTGGCGACCATTCCCCCACAAGGGTAGGGCAGACAGCACCAGGCTAGCCCACAAGAGACCACCCAAGCATCTGTGGGGGCTTGCCCAACCTACCTGAAAGCAGCAATCTAGAGTCAACAGGGAAGGGCGCTGAGGTCCTCAGAACAACCAGAATCGGAACCCTAGTCAAAGAAACATCTTGTCCTGGGGTGAGGCACCCAGGAGAAACACAGCATCTAATGGCTGCCCACCCTCACAGTCTCTCTCTCTCTCTTTCTCTCTCTCTCTCTCTCTCTCTCTCTCTCTCTCTCTCTCTCTCTCTCTCAGAGCCCCCCAACAGGTCCTGCAGCCCTTCCTTCTCCCCAGCACGACTCTCAGTACCTGAGGGTGCCAATGCCACCTTCACCTGCACTTTCTCCAACTCATCAGAGCACTTTGTGCTGAACTGGTACCGGCTGAGCCCCAGCAACCAGACCGATAAACTGGCTGCCTTTCCCAGGGACAGCACCCTGGACCCTCGCTTCCAGGTGGCCCAGCTTCCAGACGGTCACAGCTTCCAGATGAGTGTCCTCTCCGTGCAGCGAAATGATAGTGGTATCTACCTGTGTGGGGCCATTTCGCTTCGGCCCAAGGCAGAAATCAAGGAAAGCTGCCGGGCAGAGCTCACAGTGACAGGTGGGGCAAGGCCTCTGGCCTAGGAAGCCCTGGTTAGCTGATGGAGGGAGGGCAGGGCCCACAGGAAGGACAGTACGAGCACCTCTGTGCCTGCTGTGCCTGGCTCTCCTGCACACTGCTGGCCAGGACAGGGGCCAGTCACCACAGGTCCAGTGGAGCAGCCTTTGCCCTCCGAGGACCAGGCAGGTGGCCCGAGTGCAGGGACATACTGCAGAGTTCCTCACCACTATCCCTGACTCCTGTCTTTGGGGTCCCCAGAGAGAGTCCTGGAGCTCCCCACAGCGCACCCCAGTCCCTCACCCACGCCGGTGGGCCACCTTCAAGGCCTGGTTGTTGGGGTCATGAGTGTCCTAGTGGGTGTCCCGGTGCTGCTGCTGCTGGCCTGGGTCCTTGCTGCTGTATTCTCCAGGACTGTACCGGGTAAGTTTGTCATAGATGTGCCGCTTCCCCCAGGCCTCAGACCACAGGTCATGTCCACACCCTTGGTGGCCTCTGATTCCTGCCCAAAATCCAGCATTTCCTTTTATAAAGCCATATAGCTGCCCACCCCTGAGGAGCTGTGTTACCACACACACATCTTGACTACCATGGTGGGCTATGTTAGCACACCACACACACACCTTGCCACCTACAATGTGTCCCTGCAGCAGGAATAGGTGTTCTGATCTTTGTCCAACTGAGGCTCCCATTGCTCCATGGAAGCTTGTGTTCTTGTGATGAGGGAAGACATGGCATCCCTCCCCAAACCCACTCCCTCCAGAACTGAAAAGCTCAGGCCCAGTTGATGCTGCCCCCACCCAGATGGGAACCCTGGCTAAGACCCTGCTCCTGGGAGGAGGACTGGCAACAGCCACTTGATTCCAAATGTGCTTCTCTGCAGAGACCGAAGGAGCTGAGAGGAAGGCGCAGCCCCTGGTGAGTCTGGCCTCTATCAAGGGGCAACCTCCCACCCCAGTTTTTTGTCTCCCTCCCAGGCCTTCCCAGACCCCCAGTGCAGGGTCTTAGTTACCACACACACTCTGCTGCCCCAAAGCTGGCAGCCTGAGTGCCATGAGATCACTTACCCTGTGATGGGCAGGAGCAAAATGGAAAACTAAATCTGCAAAGCATTGCAGGACAGTTTAGAGAGGGAAAGAGCTGGAGAGAAGGGATTGCATCCCTGTCACACAGAAAGAGACAGTGAGGAGATAGCCATTAGGCCCTGGAGGTCAGCAGCTAGGGTGATGCTGCTCTTAGAAAGAGGACAGGGTATTAGGACTGTGGAGTCTGGCCATTGCTGGTGCTCGGCACCGACACCCCTTTTCTCTCCCTGAAGAAGGAAGACCCCTCAGCAGTGCCCATCTTCACCATGGACTATGGGGTGCTGGACTTCCAGGGACGAGAGAAGACCCCAGAGGCCCCTGCCTCCTCAGTGCACACAGAGTATGCCACCATTGTCTTCCCTGAAGTGCTAGGTGCCTCTTCTCTAGGCTACAGGAGCTCAGCTGGTGACTTCCAGGGTCTCCAGCCTTCAAGGCAGCAAGACGGACACTGCTCCTGGCCCCTCTGATCAACTTCCTCAGACCCCCACATCCTGCATCCCCCAGATTTAGGGTATGCGAGGTGCTGGGTTATGACAGCTTTGCTCCTATGCCAGACCCACTCAGGACTCACCATCAGCTGGGTTAATCACATCCCTCTTCCTGGCATGGAGGGTGGGCACAGTCATGGTGCCAACATGGTTAGAACAGAGCTGGCTGGGCCTGTGCTCTCCCTCATGTACAGCTCTCCTGTGTACAGTTGTACATGGTCAGGGACTCGGGCACTATCCCTGTGGGTTACAGGGATTTTGGCTGGAGACTGCCTGGACACTGCCCATGGCAAGAGGATCCCAGCATGAGGCAAGCACAATGACTTGGAGTGTCCACAACTCAACTCTGTTGGGTTGGGGCAATGTCACATGGGAGGGACCCAGGAATCTCCAGACCCATCCAGGCTTGGAAAAGTTTTCATAAAAGAAAGCTGCAGAGAGCAGGAGGAGGCACCAGCACCCTCACCCATCTGCAGGAGTCAACTTGACCTTCACACCTGCCTGGGAAGCTCCTCAGGCCTCTCTACAGAGGGAACCCAAGGCATGTGTGGAATAGTTAAACCCAACCCCACCTGCTTCCAAGGACACACCTCAGCCCAGCCCTGCCTACCCAGGATGGGGAGCAGGACAGGACCCCACCCAGCTATGAGGAGGGGAGGGTTCTGGGCAGGGGCTGGGGCAATGCAGGTACTGTGCCCATTCAGTGTTCGTTAAAGAGGCCTTGCCAGGCTCCTGCCCAGGGTTGACAAAGTTGCACAGGGGGGGAAGGAGGAGCCCCTCTCATTTGTTTCTGTGGAGTTACAATTAAATAATGATGAAAGTTTTCTGAGTTTTGTCCTGTGCCTGTAGGCCATACAGCAGGCTGATCTGAGGGTCAGAGAGAGGTGGATGTTATGGCCTGAGGCAGGCATTGCCCCTATGGCCCCAACTCTGCACTCACAACCTGTGAGTAGGTAACCTCACTGCTTGGGGAGGTAGGCTGTTTCAATCACTTTCATAGTTGCTGGGACAAAATACTCAACACCCACAAGTGAAAGGAGAGGAGGCTTAGCTTGGCTCAGATTTTCTAGAGATTTGAGTCCGTGGCCAGCTGGCTTCAAAGCAGGAAGATACAGTGGCAAAAGAAAGCTGCTGAGAGCCAAGGGAGCAACTGAGAAGTTAGCTAACAACAAGCCAACTATGCACCCACAAACCACTTACCTCCCACAGCCACAGGCATCCCCAGCCAGCAAGGGTGTCCACAGGCGTCCCCTGAGTGTCTGTAAGCTGTTCACCTGTGTCCTACCAGCTTGCGCCCAGTGTGGGCCATTGCTGCAGGGGGTGGGCTGCTCCAGGCCTCTGCTAAGACTCCCCAAGGCACTCAAGCTCCACGTCCACCACCTCCCCAGGATCTTGGCTGCCCACAATGATGCCAGGTAGACAGCCCTGCTACAGTCGCCCCCTCTGAGCTGCCCTGGGCAAAGTGGAGTCAGCACATCGGAGACAGGCAAGGAAGTCAAGCTCCTCAGACAGTATGGGCTCAGGTGGGAAACCCCAGGAATCTAAACAGAAACCCAGCGCCAAGAACCTAGTCAAGCAGCAAAGAGGAGCTGAGGATCTGAAAACAGAGACTGCCCTGGGCTTTCAGGATACCTCACCTCTTCAGCCCTGGGTAAGATAAGGCACCTGGGGAAACATGCAGCACTGCTGGAGGCATGTCCAACCACGAGACAGATGGGGACTCAGGCAAATGTCTCCATGTTAAAGACCCTTCTTCCTGCCCACACTATGATTAAACATCACCCCAATGAACACACTTCTGGAACTGTAATTTGCTTGCTTGCTTGCTTGCTTGCTTGCTTCTAGTACAGTACTGAGGGTTAAACCCAGGACCCTCATAGAGCTACATCCCCAGCCTTTTTTTATGCTTTATTTGAGACAAGATCTCATTAAATTACCAAGGCTGGGCTCTAACTTATGATCCTCCTGCCTCAGCTTCCCAGAGGGTTTGGATTAAAGGCATGCACCACCAAGCCTAGCTTGGAATTGTAACACCTTTATAACATTTATAACTGAGAAAGAAGTGAAAGAACCATCGTGGGGCCAGGAGATTCCAGATCAGCTTTGGAGACAGGGTAGCCGATTTCATGATCCCGGTGGGAGGAGGGCAGGTGCCTCATAGGGTGCTGGGACCAAGCAGCCACTTGTGAAGGGACTCAGTGAGGACCAGATGTGTGCTGCACACTCGCCTCCACCTGAGGACAGTGTGCACAGGGAACCTCCAGGAAACAAGGGGAGCACAGCTGCACTCCTCAGCCCACAGCTGAGCTAGCTACCAAAAACTCCACCAAGGGGAAGACAGAGAAGGTGATGCACTCAGCTGCACAGACAGGAAAACAAAACTTCAGCATCGGGAAAACCCATTAGCAAACTGAGAGAAGTATCTGCACTACCATACAGATATAAATACAAATTATATAAAGATCTGAAAATCTGAGCCAGATTTTTACAGCTGAAAAGTGAGCAGAGGTAACCAACAGTTCACCAAAATGTATGAGCACACAACCATAAATGTGTGCACATGCATACATACCCATGTGTTCATGTGTGTATATATGTATATGTGTATGTTGCATACCTGCATGCATACACATGTGTGTCACATACATACCTTGCATGTACATGTGTACAATGTTGCATGTGTACCTATGTGTTTGTACACGTGTTCCACACATGCTTGTGTATGTGCACATATGAATGCATATTGCACACATCTGTGTATATGTGTGTGCATGCATGTTGTATACTTATCCGTATGTGTACACATGCCATATATGTACCTGTGCATACATATATGTGCATGGATATCCCTAAGCAATGGAAGGACATCCAATTGTATTCATAACATCACAGAGAAATGACTCACAACCTGTTAGATGTCAAACATTCCAAGTTCATGCCTGGATAATTAAAAAATGGATATAAGGACAAAAGAAGTTAAGACTAGGAAAGTTTTATTGAGATGGCTCCTGAGAGACAGGAGGTCCTGACAGTGGCTGCCACTGAGGCTTTGTCTTGATGTTATTTCTGCACAAAATCACAACCTAGGTAACTGTGAGTCAAACTGTAATAGACCTATAAGATTACAAAAATAGTAGTTGAGTTAATACTGATCCAATACGGAAGTGAAGCACATAGCAATGGCACACAGTGGACATACTAACTTCAGTTTATCTGTAACTTCTAATGTAGAAAAAATAATGACATTCAAGGAAAAGGATGGGAATATGGGTCCAGGTGTTCCGATCACCCACCTATTCATCTGACACTTTAAGTGGACTCTCTGGAGTAGGTGGTGCTGACTATAGTATGGCCTCAAGCTGCTGTCTCTTTCTAGGGTGGCTTTCAGGCCTGGCTGTCTTCCAGTTTGTCTCCAGTCACAATTTGATGTGTCTCATCTTCTGCAAGGACTCCATTGAGGGCCTGCTCCCTCTTATTTCCTGTTAATTTCTATCTTAGCTATCTATGATAATAGTGAAAAAAAATACTAAAACTGCTCCTGGCAGACTGGCAGAAGTCTGGAAGGGACAAGACACATTGTCAAAGCTGTATTGGTCCTGTCAGTCTCCACAGAAATACATCCCTGGAATCACTGACAGCACTGGGAAGTGACAGGACATACAGAGTTTCATTGCACTGGGCTTGCCAAGGCAGAGTCACCCAGAGCTGGCCCCAATGCACAGTGGCCCAAGTCCCTATCTTCTGGGGACCCTGCCATGTGGAAAACCTGGCCTAACAGTGGAACCAGATTGCTCTGGACTGGGAGGGTGCGAGGCAGGTATGTGGCACTAGCAGCTCAGAATCCCCAGGACAGGGTCACAAGTTGGATCATGTTAAAAAGACAAGGGAATTGAGCATCAAAAATGCCAAATTTGCTAGGCAGGCATGGCAGTTGGTGGCTACTATCCCAGCACCTGGAAACTTGAGATGGGGGATAGAAAATCTGATCTGGGCAACTGAGTGGTATGTCTTAATATGTAGTTTTTGAAAAGGAAAAAAAAAATAGGTTAGGAATGTAGTTCAGTAAGGAAGCTCTAGGTTCAATCCCCAGAACCACAAAAAAAAAAAAAGTTTTTAAAAAAATCTTACTGCTTAACACATTTTGTGTTTAAAAGAACATGAGTTCAAATTGATAGTCAACAGAAAAAGCGAGGCAGGCAGGGAGGAAGTGGTCGCAGGGCCACCACACTCGGCACTCATCAGTGGGACAGGCTACCAGCTGGTGGCAGCGGCTCAGATAAGAACCGAGAAAGTGGTATGGGCCAGTCAGCACTTTGCATCCGCCTTCCCGTAAAGCAGCCGCCGCCTTAAACTCATTTTTTCCATCCGTCCCCTCACTCTGCCCAGGCGTTCGTGTCACAGCCCTGGCGGGGACCCGCTCCCACACCTTCCCACGCTGCTCCCGCTCCGCCCTAGGTGCCCTGCTCAGACAAAGCTGCAGCTGCCTGCCAAATCCCTACCCTGTTGGGTTGAGGGTGGTCAAGTTTCCTGCGGAGAAGCAGCCTCACCCCAAGGTCCCAGGCTTCTGGGGAAAGGAGGGCGTAGTCTCTGCCTGGTGTAGGGAACCCTCTGCCCCAGCCCCAGGAAGCTCCTGAGTTTCTGCAGAAATGGGAGGGTCCTCCAGGAGCCAATAGAGGCCTTGCAGCCATGACAGCCACATCATGGCCGGCCATGGCAGTTTACTTTGCAGGTACCCCTGACCTTTTCCCTGCATCCTCTGAGCCCGGCCCAATGACTGCACTCACCAACGGGACTCAGAAAAGCTAGCCCAAGTGGGTACACATATGTGACATCACCTCACCCACCACAGGGTCACACAGTCTGTGATTGCTAATTCTAATTCTTGGACTTTTATCTCATGACTATCATGTGCAGGGAACATTGCTCAGCCATGGGAAGGAGCGGAGCTGTGCTACTGCATCCGTAGCTTTACTTACAACAGTCTCAGGGTCTTTCAGCAGGTTCAACCACATGAGCTTTTAAAGGAATACTGGTCAGCCCTGAAATAGGAGGGAACCCCAGCTCCTGCAACAGCACAGATCTCCGAGGACAGCATGCTGAATGGACTAAGCCAGTCACACAAGGACATTGTGATTCACTCATCAAGATCCACAGAACACTGGAGAAGAGATCACAGACAGGAGCAGAATGCCAGGTGCCTGGAGCAAGAGAGGGTGAGGGGATGCTCATTATCTTAGTTACTTTCCTCATTGCTGAGACAAAGTACCCAACACCCAAAGTTAAAGGGGGCAATGCTTATTTAACTCAGTTTGTAGAAGTTTCAGTCCATAATTGGCTGACCCCAAGGCAAAGTGGTACATGTCAAAGGGGCAACAGTTGTGGTAGTGGTAGACTGCAAAGCAGTAAGAGCCAAGGGGGGTAAACAAGCCTCTTTCTGCCTCTTTTATCTTATCTAGACTTCTGGGATTAGGGTGGTGTTGATCCAATCAGTGGACTAATGTCACTCACCCTTAACCCCAGTACCCTTAATTCCAGCTTTACACTATACAATCAAACACTCTAGATTCAGCTGTCTCTGAAGAAACCCATCTAAAAGTGCATGAGGCTTTGGGGGGACTTCTAGACACAAACCATAGCACTCATACTTACCAGGAAGAGAGTTTCAGTTTTATAAGATAAAGAGACAAGTTCTGGGCCAGGTGAGGTCCCCTGAGCCTGTCCCCTGTTCTGGGTACAGACACGTGACCATCTGTGAGCCAATCTGATGGACTCCCATTGTATGGTGGTCCACTTTGCTCCAGTCTTCTGACTCCCTCATTCATCTCCAAGCCATGATGGGGCTGTCAGATGACCACGTGTGAGTTCCCAGGCACAGTCATGGGCTCCCATAGGGCAGTGTGGACCAGAGCAAGGCACCCTCAGCCCACCAGTCCACAGACAAGAAGATGCCCTCACGATCACTCAAATGTTGTCACCACTTCTCTTTTTTTACTTGTAGAGCTTTTGCTTTCTTTCAATTAATACTTTACTGTTTAAAAATAGTTTGGAGTTTGCTGAAAGGGAAACACATATCCCTCACCCCTGCCCCAGACATGAGGAGGCAGCACCTGGTGCTGGTGCAGGGCACTGGCTGCAGCCCAGGAGCCCACACTGCCAACCATGGAAGATCTGAGGTGGCCGGTACTTCACCATGCAGCACAGAACAGTTTCATAGCCCCGTACTCCTCACCGTTCTTTCCCTGGGCCCCAAGCCTTACCTTTTTCAGAATGTCATTCAGTTGGAATCACACATTTCAGATAGCTTTTTTTGGTTAGTAATATGCACTTAAATTTCTTCCCAGTCTTTTCATGGTTTGACAGTCCCCTTCCTTTAGGGTTGTATAATATTCAACTGTCTGGATGTACTGTAGTTTATAACTGGCTTCTGATGGACAATTCAGTTGCTTCCACGTGTCATCAGTTATGAATAAAGTCACTATAAACATCATGTGCAGGTTCTCCTATGGATTTAAGTTTTCAATCATTTGGGTAAACCTGAGGAACACAATCATCAAGTTCTATGATTAAAGTGAGTTTAGTTTCTAAAAAGCCACCACTGCTCACTAAGGTACGTCTCTGCACCCCACCCCAGAGAGTCCCCAGTGCTGGGTGTGTCCAGGCTCTGTCTCTGGCTGTTCTTCCAGTTGTAATCCCTTCTCCCAATGACCCATGATGCCCCTGCTTGTGCCAACCATCTATGCATCCCTGTTAGTGAAGTGTCTGTTTGGAACTTGTGTACATTTCTTAATCAATTGCTTATATTCTTATTGTTGAGTTTTGTTTTGTTTTGTTTGTTTTGTTTTCTTTAGCTATCTTGGTATTTGGGATACTACTCCTTTATCAGATGCAGATTTTCACAAGATTTTCTCTCAGTCTATTTTTTTTTTTTTTTTTTTTTTTTTTTTGGCATACGAGATGTTGCGGCGTGACTGGAGTTCAGACGTGTTTTTTTCGGAACCGGGGATTGAACTCAGGCCCTTGCGCTTGCCAGGGAAGCACTTATTCCACTGAACCACCTCCCTGGCCCCTTTTCTCTCAGTCTATGGCTTATCTTTTCACTTTTTTTTAAAGGGCCAGATCAACTTTTCTCATCAAGTGTTTCTTCCAGGAAGCAAGCACTTCCCCCCACCAGCATACCTAATAGCCCCAGCTTGCAAGTTTCCTCTCCTAGGGAAGAGACATAAATATCCCCAAGGCACAGGAAGGAGGTGGTCATGGGCACCCAGGAATCTGCACAGGTCAGGGATTCACAGCTGTCCTTGTGGCACATGGTATGGGATTTTGTCCCATGGTGTTGGACAGGGTTCACTTGGGGAAGCTGCCTAGACCTGGAGTTGTCAGATTTTAAAGTATGGATTCAGTATCTTGAAAATTTTTAGTTTTTCTATTTCATATTGTATCAGTTTCAATGTCATATTTTCTAATTGTCCATTTCATCTAAATTTTCAAGTCTATTGACATAAAGTTACTCTTGATGACTTTTTGAAACCTTTGACTATCTGTATGACCTTCAGTACACACTTTCTCATTCTGGACACTGGGATTTTGTTTCTTTTACTTTTTCTTTTTCTTTTTTTAATACTGAGGAAAAAACTAGGGTGTTTGCATTAAGCTATATCTCTGTCCTTTTTGTTTTTTGTTTTAAGACAGGGTCTCACTGAGTCACTGAGTTGCCCAGGCTGGGCTCAAACTTGTAACCCACCTGCATCAGCCTCTCAGAGTGCTGCACTGCAGCAGCCTGCTTGGCCCAGGATGTATATATACACACGTGTGTTTAACAACTGCCCTTTATTTCCTCTATAATTTTTTTCAGTGTCATTATTTCATCCCAATCTTCATTATTCTCTTCCTTCTATTTTCTTTGGACTTAACTTACTGTCTTTCTTCTAATTTCCTAAAATCAAAGATTACCTCCCTTTTCTTTAATAGTCACATTTTAAGACTATACATTTCTCTCTAAACCTGGCTTTGGTTTCATCCTACAGTCTTTGTGTAGCATTTGCATAATTAAGCTCAAAATATTTTCTGATTTCCACTATGGTTTCTTCCCTGAACCACAAGTTATTTAGAATTATATTTATTTCTAAACACATGAAGATGCTCGATTCTCCTTCATTTTATTTTTATTTTTATTTCAGTTTCACTGTAATTCTCAACTCTTTAAAATTTTCAGAGACTTGGCTGTGTGGCCTCAGCAGCGTCGGAGTTCATACTTTGCTGAATGGAAAAGATGTTGGGGCAGCAACAGCTTTGTGTAGAATTCTACCCAGCACATAGTCAGTGAGCTCCGTGTCCCCAGGCAGGCGCAACTTCGTCTTAACTGACTTTCTTGTTGTCTGCTTCCTCTATCTGAGACTGCAGAGACCTGAGTTGCAAACTTTCTGCAGCAAATGAGAGTCTGCCTATTTCTCCTGCATTGTGACTGTGTCTAGATCCTCCTCCTCCCCCCTGCAAAGCCTCATGCAATCATAAGTGGGGATTTTTCAAAGATGGCTGCATCTAGAGTGTGTTACACTGGAATGGATTTTTGGTACAATGCTAGGATCAAGGGTACTAGCATTAAGGGTGTGAGTGCTACCCGCCCTAAGTAGCCTGGATAAGATACAAGGGATAGAAAGAGTTATGGTTTTTCCTTGCTTGATTTAGCACCTTCCACCCACCGTGAACTGTTTCCCCTCTGCAATGCCTGTCTGCTATGCCCACTTGCCTTGGAGATAGTAGACTATAGACTTCTACTTTGAGCCAAATAAAACTTTCCTCCTTTAACTTGTGGGTGTTGGACATTCTGCCTCAACAACAAGGAAAGCACTAAGTACTTTTGCTCTGTACTCTTCAGCACAGGATTAGGTCTATGGGAACTTAGGTTGCTGAGCTGTTTGTGAACAGCCCTTCTGAACTGTTCTTCAGCTGCAGGTGTCGCATGCCTCCATCTCCTCCAGCCTTATTTGTCTGTGCCCATCGGCTCCATGGCTGCTGTCATGGAGTATAGTTGTATTGGGAGTAGACTTTTGTTTTGTATTTTTAGGTTTTCCCAGCATAGCTATTTTTACCTGTTTACTAGAATATGAGTCAATTTATGTTTAGTGTTCTTCCATTATGCTTGGGTTTCGTTAGCTGCCTCAATATTTGCTGTTTTTTGCCTTCCCATTCCATGCATATTCCCCTCATCCCCTGCCTGTTTTGAATTGTGCCTTGTCCTCTCATATATCCCCTCTTCAGTGTAGGGTCACACAGCCTTCTGTCCCACCTTTTGTTGGACAGTTCCAGGGTCTCGGAGCATTTGGTTCCATTCCCTCCACTCCACGCAGTGCTTTTTTTCATTACTGTGCATTTAAATCTGTGTGGTGAGACCCAAAAGCATGGCTGTCATCATATCCATATGGCTAACCCTCCTGAGACACCTTTCACACGCCCCTAATCGACTGGGCTTATGACAAACACAGGCCCTCCTGTGTGTGTGGAAATGTCACCATTTTGCCTTGGTGTGGAAGGATGTGTTTGGACATGGCCATTTTCCTCCAGTACCTTTGAAGAGTCCTTTCTGTTGTCTTCCCTCCCCACCGCTACTGTGGAAGCCCACTCCCCACAGGAGTTGCCTTCCTGAACATTCTACTGGTGTGACCCATTCTGAGCGTTGCCCTGGCCTTGAGCTTCATAGCTTTACTAGAGGAACTCAAGTATTCTTTCCCTGTGGCTGTTAGACAGAGGCTACAGGAAGCAAAACATCAGGCAGCTGAGGCTGAACCCAAACCTGCCCAGAGCTTCTCATTCAGGGCCCTGAGCCCCATCGCTCCCCAGGTGGAAGTTCAAAAACAGCGTAGATGTTACCCATCAGCCAGTCCCAGATGGACAAGAACGGCTGCAGAGGGCAGTGAACAGAGAAGGCCTCATGTACTGTCCTCCTCCCATCCTCCCCTCTGCCAGCTACATCAAGCATGGAGGGTGATGGCTTGGGAAAGGAGTTAGTTAGGCATGCTGGAGCACTGGATCTTCTCTAGGTTTTGATGTGGGAAGAAACATTCACTCAGATACAGACACAGCCCCTTTATTTGCCATTCAAATTCCAGAAAGTAGCTAGAGATCACATGTCAAGGTAAAACTGGCTGCAGACCAGTTTCATCAATACACTGAGTTCATGAGGCCCCACTGCCTACCTGCGGAACTGTAGTGGCCATTTGGACAGCACCCCACCAGGTCCAAACCTCCCCACCCTCCTAAGGAGCAGGCTGTCCACAAAAATCATCTCCGTGACCCATGGAGAAGCTGGTGCAGAGCTCCATCCATCCTGGAGTCACATGGCCTTCTCCTCATCACCTCCATCTATTCAGTCCCTTTGTCCTTGGGAAGACACTTGCATTTGGGACCATCAGGAGAGCCGGCAGCGCTCTGAGAGCTTGCCCTCATGATGGAGCAACTCAGGGCCCCCAGACACATTCTCCAAGACCTCTTGCAAGGAGAACATGCAGAAGGAGATATCATCATAGGAGGCCCTGGCCCCACTTTCAAATAGACAGGCAAAAGCTAGGGCTGAGCCAGGCACAGACCCAAGGGTCGCCAAGTCAGAGTACCCACTAGGGCCTTCATAGATCACCCAGGGCTCTGTCCAACTCTGGGGGTCGAGGGGGGACCTGCTCAGGTAGATACCCATGTGGATCCGTGCTCTGTGCCCCACTGGGTGGGAATATAGCAGCCATGTGGGCCTCAGTAGTGGGGCCACAGGGGGCACTGAGAGCATTGGGACATAGGTTCCCCCATCTCCACCAAGCCCAGACTGTAGGCCAGGTTGTTCCTGGCTGTGCCCCCAGGGCTGTGGGTGGTAGAAAGTCCCACTGAGGGACTCCTGGGCTTCAGAACAGAGGTGAGGAGGGTTTGGATCCTCCTCCTTGCTGAGGGTGGGGGCTGGGAAGCCTACAATGCTGCCCTGGCAGCCCCGGGCAGTCTCTGCCAGGGTGGGCACAAGTTCTGCAGGCAAGAAAGAGGTACCCTCATTAGGGCTGAGGGCCTGCACACGGCTGCCCAAAGGACTTCGGGCATTGCAGTAAATGAAGCCCCCATCCACTGCAGCCAACTGGCACTCGCCTGAGCGCAGGTTGGGCACCAGGCCCCCACAGTGCCAGGTGCGGCCCTGATCATCACTGTAGATGGCGAAGGAGTGAGGGCTGGTCCAGCAGACCTTGCCAAAGCACTCCCGGCGGTCCACACGGTAAGTGTAGGCAGGCACTAGCAGGCGACCTGAGTGCAGCTGGATCCCATGGCCTGGGCCCACAGCAAAGGTGGCCCAATCTGCAGAGAGGGGATGTACAGTGAGGGGTTGCTGGAACACCAGGAAGGGGAAACCTGCGCCACACCATAATGAGGACCAGGAAGTCTAGCCAATGCCAGATTGGGGCACCACACATGACCTGAGTCTCCCAGGCTGGACAAGCTTTACAGGGCCTGTCCACGGGTCATAGAGATCATGGTGGCCAGATGTGGTTATGTCCTGCTGCTAGAGATGGAAACCAGGGCCCCAAATGTGCTAGGCAAGCACCAAGCCCACAGCCCCAGCCTAGACAAGTCCTTTGGTGTACAGTACTCTGCCACCCTGAACCAACTGGGTGGCCACAAGCACTACCCAGAGAGGCAGGTAGGTCTGTGCAGACCTCATTGCAGGTATCTGGGCCAGCCCTGTGTCTATCCACACCGTGGTGTAATGTCTACATTTGGGGTTGTGTAGCCAGAGCCCACAAAGAGGTCAGAGCAGCTGTGGACAGTCATGGGCAATCAGCTCCTAGACTAAGGAGGTTCAACACAAGTGGAGAGAAGCTTGAGCCCCAAGGCCCTAGGCCAGGCCCCTTCAGCCCAGGTGAGGAAAGGCAAGCGGGAAAAGGAAGTGATAAAGGAAACAGGAAAGTGGTTAGGTTGGGGAATGAGAACACCACGTTCACTACTCTCCTCTGCGAGAGTAAAGCCCAGGAAGAGGACTGCACCTTGAGAACCCCAGGTGGTAGAGGTGGAAGACCAATCCAACCAGTCCCATCAGCCAAGCAGCCCTGGGACAGGGAGGTGGGGTCACCTTTGGCAGGAGACTGAGACAGGAAGCAGAGGGGAGATCCCTGACAGCCCAGGCCTGGGCCACCTTGCACCCTCCTACCCAATACTGCTGGGCCCTCCATTGTCCCAAGACATGCCCCGTCTGATTGACTCCAGCACCTCCCCTACTTACCCCAGTCCCACCCTTACCCCCACTGGCCCTGCCCAATTCCCTCTATCCACCATGCACCTCCCCTGGCCAGGGCTACCTTCCCTTCCCTCATCCCTCACTGTCTAGGCCAGACAGAATTCCCTCACTCGCACCCCAGTCCCCGTCCCATCCCAGGTCCCTCTGTGGCCCTGGCCCCAGCCTGCCTACCCTGTACCAAGGTGCCCAAGGTCTCCTCTGTGAGGTCCCGCGCGCCGCCCCAGGTGAGGCCAGCATCGTGGCTGGTCACGCAGCAGAGGCGAGCTGCGTTCCTCCCCGTGGCTATCTGCACGGCCTCGGGCGTCTGGCCCAGCACCGCGATGAAGAAGAGGAAGACGGTCCCCGAGCTCGCATCGAGCACCGGGCAGGGATTCATGGAGCGGTGCTCCTCTAGGGCAGCGGTCGCCAGCACACGCAGGGGGCCCCACTGTGGGAGAGAAGAGGGGCAACCGCGGCCACCTAGCTGTCCGGCCCTCGCCAGGACCCCGCCCGCCCCCAGCCCCTCACTCCCTACTCGCCCGACCCCCACCCCCGCAGTGCCCTGCTTCCACTCACCCGCACGCCGCCAGCAGCCAGTGCGCCACGCCGCAGCACCAGGAGGTGCGCGTGGGAGTCGTCGGGACTGCGCCGCTGCTCCGCGAAAGCCAGCAGCGTGGGCCCTGGCGCTAGAGAGAGCAGTGCTGGTACGCGGTAGGTCAGACCGGTCCTCTCACGCTGGAACAGCACGGTCCTCGCAGGGGCGCGGGAGGTGCCCATGCTGTACGGACAGAGGTCACGGCAGATGAGGTCACCTCCACACTCAGTCCCTGTCCCCGTGCCCGCCTGGGGGTCCTGCCCTGGTCCATGCCCGAGGGCTGTGCACCCTGCCTCCCCTTTTCCAGCAATGGGATGCCCAGAACCTGCCAGCCTGTGCCCACAGAACCCAGCAAGAGGCTAATCAAGGGCTCAGGGCTTCAGACAAGGCAGGTCTCAGCTTTCCCGCATACAGGTAGGGTCATGACCCCTTCCAAGAGCAGCCCCAGCCCCAGGGAAGCCACAAGCAGACACAAAAATATCCAGTAGCGCACGCACACACACACACACACACACACACACACACACCAGGAACCCAGAGGATGCTTCAGGGGGTCTGCAGCAAAGGGGCCTAAGCACAAAGCCTTTCAAGGCATCCTCAAGCACAGACTGGCCAGCTGGACCCTCACTGCTAGCTGTCCTAATGACTCTTCCATTAGCTTGAGAGCCAGAACAGTGCAGGGCAAGGTGCTCACCCACAGCAGAGAGGAGTCGGGAGGGGTTCACTCTGGAGATCCCTTTGACCCCTCTGTCTGGAGAGGAGATGGCCAGGGAGAGCTAAGGCATGGAGCAGTGGGCAACTTTCCTGGGTGAGGAGCCTCCTACTTCCTAAACTTTTGCAGGTTTCTGTCCCCTCAGCCATAGGGCAAGTCTTGGAGGGGACAGGATCCCTTGGATCAGCACCCTGTTGGGATAATTCACCTCACACATTCCCTTCTATAAGGTCCTGGCCTGAGGGGCACTCAAGGAACCTCTAAAGGAAACAAGCTGGCACTGTAGCCGCCTTCCAAAGCAGCCCCAGCCCCAAGCTTGCTCCCTCCCCAGTAAGCCCCTGTATCAGTCACAGGTTGGACATGCCAGGAGACTGTGCCCGCCATACTGAGGCCAGTAGGGCGGTGAGAACACATGTGCAGTCCAGCATGCAGGGAAGAGGGGGTGCCCTCTGTGCAGGACACAGAAGTCAGCCCTCAACCACTTCTCCACCAGCCACCACCACCCATGGACCCTCCACCTACCCACACAGAGGTCACTAGCAGGATGCCACAGCGTGCATAAGACCTGTGAACCTCACAGGGGCACCGGGATGAAGAGGAGTCAGGGTTGAACACTCACATAAACAGGAACTGGCCTCACAGATGCCGCAGGCTGTGCCAACCGCCTCCAGCCCCAACCCAGAGTCTTCTGCCTCTACCACCTCTATCCAGGCAGCACACTTGCCTCTGTGGACCCTGCCACTGACTTGGCTTCTGGAGCACTTCCTGTCTCCTCAAAGGGCAATTGTGCCCAAGTGGGAGCAGGTGCAGGCTGCACATATTCCCAGGCAGAATGGCACAAGGAGACATCTCTCTGCAGTTGGCCACTCCCCAAAGCCTGGGGACGGCAGCTGGTGTCAGCGCAGCCTGCAGAAGCAGGGGCCAGGCCCACCCCATCCCAGGAATAGAAAAAAAAAATGAAGCTCCAGAAACTAATGGTCATTCCTGTTGCACACAGGGGAAACTGAGGCTTGCAAAGGAACAGGCTGCCACATCTGAGAGGCTTCCTTGCTCAGGCCAGGCTTCAGTTTCCCCAGAGCCTCAAAGTTCTGGGGTTGCAGCAGATTGTGGGGAGCAGCCTCCCAAAGCCAACCCTGCTGTGTGTGGCCAGTCAGTCCACTCAGGGCTTTGGTTTGTCCCATACAGCTATACTGCAGCGCAAACTAGTGCTACCCCTCTCCCGGGGCATTGAATCACAGAGGGGAAACTAAGTCCTGGGAAGAGAAGGGATCTTCTGCACAACATAGTCCTCTGGCACCTGGGCCCCAGAAGAGGTGGTAAGGGCCATCTTTGGCCCAGCCCAGGGTACCACCCCACACCCTTAGGGCCTGCTTGTCTTTGGCCCCATCAGTTCATTCAAGGCACAGTCATGAAGCAGTGTCCTCTGCTTGGAACTGGGCAGGGGCCCTCAGGGATCTGTGTCCTCCAGCAATATCTGCAGTCCGCACCTTCATTGTCCTGGACTCCAGTCAGAATGAGAGCAGAATTGCAGCCCTTGCCCTTGTGGAGGGTCACCTGCAGTACTGGTTTCATAAAGTCATACAGGGGAACAGTCCCCAGCTTTGGGCCCACACCATGTCCATGTACATCCACCCCCTCATCTGCTCTAGGACTCCTCAGGGTCACACACTGCATGGGCTGAGAAATATTCCCATGAGTGCACCACGTGGGATCTCACTGGGAGGCTCCTTGAGGCCTGGGCCAATCTCTCATCTTGAAGGTAAGAAGCCATCCTGGGTGCTCTGTAGAGACAGAGGGGTGGGCTCAATCATTACTGCCAGACACAGAGGTATTCAGCAGGGATAGTGCAGGGCTGAGCAAAGAGGAAACCCTCCTGCCACTGTGGGTCCTAGTTGTGAGCAGCTGCCCTGCCCCAGGTCCCACTGTGTGGGTACAGGTCAAGCTGCCTCCCCCATACACAGCCAGCCGGCCAGGCAACATCACAACTTTCCATACTGCCCCAGTAGGTCATCTGGCTCCAATGGTTGTAAGCCCAGAGCCAGGCCTATAGTGCAGGGAGGACACAGCATCCAAATGACAGTATGTGACTCAGGAAGTAAGGCTTCCTCTGCCAGGATTCAGAACAAGGGAGGAACCTGCCAACAACAGCCATGCTGGGTGGCCTGTGAAGCATGAAGGACACCCAGAGGTCATCACCTCCAGATGCAGAAGGGTCCTGAACATAGTACAGCCAAAGTGCTGCTGTCCTTCAGTGTCCCCAGTCACCATGGGTTGCAGCTCCACATCACATTCCCCAGCCTCACAGGACTCAATGACCCAAGCCAACTCCCATCTTCCTGAGCCTCTTGGACCCAGGGAGACAACTACCTGGCATCAGCTGCCTCTAAGGGCTCCTGCCAGCCCTACCCTGCTGTGTCTGTGGGACACTCTTGGGCAGCTTAGGCCCCCTGAACTGGAGTTGCCACCATTTCTGAGAAGCAGGACTGCAGTAAAGGGCTCCAGGAAATGAGACTGATTTCCACCCACTTAGATCCTTCTGCCCTGGCCTCTTCTGTCAGGTCTAATACCCCACTGGGGAAGAGGCTCCCATCTGACCTTGGGGTCTGGTTTATATAAGGCCTTCTTAAACAAAGGAAATCCCTTAGACAATGAGGGCCCTTGTAGGAGTGGCTGAAGCTGGAAATTTGTCACATGGGGGAGCAAGACAAGATCAGAGTGCTTAAAACAATCAAGCTACTTCAGTCCTGGGAAAACACCGTGCCTGAGACAATTCCAATCATTAATCATTAGGCAACTCTGTATTGCATGATACTTTGTCAATTGTATAAATAAATGCCCCTACAGTGGTTGAGCAGTTCCTCTCCACCCAGCAGGAGAGAGGGCTCTACCCGACCTCAGCTTTTGTTTCTTTTTTCTTTTTTTCTTTCTTTCTTTTCTTCTTCTTCTTTTT